ATAAGAGTGCTACTCCACGTCCCCCGGATTGTTGATTTCCCCAGATCAACCAGCTCAGGCTTCGGTGATCCAACGGGCGTCTTACCCACACCCTTTACACCTCATACTCTTATCTTTTCAGAGAGGTTCTTTGAACACCACCCATCATGTCTGAGAAGAAGAACGATGTCGTCATGCTCGAGCAGACGATGACTCGGGATGAAGAGCTCATGAAGCCTGTGCCCATTGTCGGCAAGGTGGATTACTCTGGTGCTTACGAGAAGACTGATCCCCGAGAGATTGCGCTTGTCAAGAAGCTCGACCGATGGATTATGCCCATGTTGTGGAGCATGTACTGGCTCAATTACCTTGGTATGTCACTCCTCTCTCACAGTGATCTTTTTGGAAGCACTTACTTACACATCGCTCTGTCTAGACCGCAATGCCATTGCACTGGCCCGCCTCGACGACCTCGAAGAGGATCTCAACCTCACCAGCGAGCAGTACCAAACCTGCGTGAGCATTCTCTTCGTCGGATACCTCCTTGGCCAAATTCCCAGTAACATGTTCCTCAACCGAACCCGTCCATCGCGCTACATGGGCTGCTGCATGATGCTCTGGGCCGTCGTCTCCGCCCTGACAGCTCTTTCCAAGGACTTCACCGGTCTCCTTCTAACCCGCTTCTTCCTCGGTGTAACAGAAGCCCCCTACTACCCCGGTGCTGTCTACCTGCTCTCCATGTTCTACACCCGCAAGGAAGTCGCCACCCGCATTGCCATCCTCTACACCGGAAACATCCTCGCCACCGCCTTCGCCGGCCTCATCGCCGCAGGCATCTTCCACGGTCTCGGCGACGTCGCTGGCATCACGGGATGGCGTTGGCTGTTTATACTCCAGGGTGCTGTCACCTTTGTCATCGCCGTGGTCGGTTTTTTCCTGCTTCCAGATTTCACGCACAACACATGGTGGCTCACACAAGAAGAGCGCGACCTAGCCACCAATCGTATGGCCCTTGACACCGTCGGCAACAAGGGCGAGACTTCCGTGTGGGCTGGTTTCCGCCAGGCTGGCAAGGACCCCATGGTCTGGATCTTCGCTTTCATGGCTCACATGCATCTTGCCGCCAACGGATTCAAGAACTTCTTCCCCACCGTTGTCCAGACGCTTGGGTTTAGCAAGACTATCACCTTGGTCTTGACCTGCCCGCCTTACCTCATTGCTGGTGTCGTCACGATTGCTGTCTCGTGGTCTTCTGGAAAGTTCAACGAGCGCACTTGGCATATTACTATTTCCAAAGCCGTTGCTACCTTTGGCTTTGGACTGGCTTGTGCTGAGATTGGTACTGCGGGTCGTTACGTCGCTATGATCATCTTCACCATTGGCACTTATGGTGTTAATTCGCTCATCCTGGGTTGGTGCGGATCTACTTGCGGTCAGACGCCCGAGAAGAAGGCTGTTGCTATCGGTATCGTGACGACGGTTATGAACGCTTCGTTTATCTGGTAAGTTCCCCTTCTACCTCTTCTTCATCACCTCAAAGAACCAGTTGCTAATATGGATAATAGGACACCATACCTATGGCCCAAGTCTGACGAGCCTCGCTACATCATCGCGCTCAGCTCCTCGGCTGCGTTCTCCATTATGACTGCGCTGTTGGCGTGGGTGGCGAAGATTCTCTTTACCCGCAAGAACAAGAAGCTTCGCGAGCAGGACAGCGAGAACATGACCTTCTACGTGTACTAGAGGGGTGTACGAGGTTGCGACTCGCGCAGTGCGCGACGTATGGGGATGAAATCGGCTGGCAAGAGCCGGCGCAGATTAGATGGAAGAAAGTACATTACGAGCCGAGTGCTTGATGAATATGCACACACGAATGATGAACAATTCGATCTTGAAGACTAGCTGTGTGAATCGACATGCATGCGCCTTGTGATTCCCATCCCGCGAAGTCTAACACATAACTAGTCCATGATGCCTGCAACCCTCCTCCCCAGCTTCCAAGATACGAATCCGTCACTACCACACGCTAACCCCACATCCATACTATAGAAGGATCGAATTCCCAATAGTACTTGAACCCTTTCTTCTTCTCCAACATCGCCTTCCCACGAGCGATCAACGCCGTCTCATCGCGCTGGGAAATACCAGCTTGAATGGCTAGTTTCCTGCAACCCAGACGCACCACTTCGTTGTAGTCGTATAAGCGCATTCGCGCGCGACTGGGGTCTGTTGGGTTAGGCCTCGACTCGAATGCGAGGCATTCAAGGTCGTTCTTGTTCAAGCAGAAATACTTCTCGGATTTGGATACATTGATACATGTTGTCTGGGATGCGTTCAGCGTTTCGGGATTTCGCCGTTTGTTGCGATAGATATAATTTTTCCAGTTCCGCTTCCACTGCATGGGAGTATCCAGTGGTTCTAGCAATGCTGCTCTTAACGCCGTGTCATGGTCAGCTTGTTCTCGAGCTCTTTTCGCGGCGGCTTCGAGTTCTGCGGGGGTCGAAATGGGCGTTTTGGGTTCTGTTTTGATTGGTATACTGGGAGGCTCGACCTCCTTCTTCGATGACACGGGGGTTGTGGGCGGTTTGGGTGCTATCTTGACCGGTACAACGGCAGAATTAACTTTCTTGCGCGATGGCATGGGGCTGGTTGGCTCATTGTCACTGTCGTCGGGTGTGGCTGGTCGTTTGCGTTTCGTTGCCTTCGCTACTGTAGGAGAAGCTTCTGTTTCGCTTTTCAAGTACGAAGGCTCGGACTTGATATTGATGGCTGAGGAAGGTGGGGTGAGCAGCTGGGGTGCTAGGGTAGGCGAGGTGGGCTCCTCCTTGATGAGGGGTTGTGTCGTTTCCTTCACCATTGTGGAATCGCGGCGATGGAGTGGCATATCGAGTGGGTGCAAAAGAGCGTTACTTAAAGAAGAAGCGGTAAGACACTCGCACGATGTCTTTGGGAGAAGTCTTAGACATGTAAGACAATGCGACAGAGGTACTTTGGGAATAAAGACGTTGGAACAACTGTGCCTCTTAACGAAACGGCCTTCCAAGCAAGGGTTAGACTTGCTGCACACTGCGGGGTAAATGTACCAAAACAATTATCTTGGATGCCACGTCAAGATGCATCGAGATACTGGTAAACTACTACAACTAGCAATATCGAGATCCTTCGGCTTGATGGTGGTGCACTAGTACGACACGATGCTGGTAGCCTTCCCGTTAACGTCCCGACGAGACTCTTATTCACCAAAACAGGATTGTTGCACGAAGCCGAAGGTCAAGATTAGGGCTTTCAGATTATTGAGAGTCTAGTAGCCACTCCTGTTATGGTCATCCCCATACTTCTCGCACATTAACCTATCCTCCTCATCCTCGCGCATCCGCCTGAGTTCGTCTTGTCGCACCGATTCTTTGTAGCGTGCAATCTCCGCCCCGGACCTTCCCCCTTTGGCATACAAGAGGTTGTCGTAATTACTGGAGAGTGTTAGCATCGTTGCAGCTGCTGTATACATCGGTCGCTTACCCTCTGGCGTGTTTATCTGCAAACAGCTTCTTCCCTTTGGCAAGGAACTCTTGTTCGTTATCCTGTGGGATACCAGCGAGCATGGCTTCTTTCCGGAAGGCTAGTTTCCCGCAATCGTCCCATCGGTAGTCCTTCTGAGGCATCTGGTTGAATGCGTTCACGGAGGGGCGATGTGGGATGCACTTGAGCTCATCTGGCTTCAGGTCGAAGAATGCCTTTGCGTTTTTGGCATTTACATGTTTTCCCAGATCGCCTGAAGTGAGTTCCTCGTAGGTCTGGTTTTTGGATATCCAATCTTTCCAGTCCTTCTTCCATTGGGCGGCTTGCTTCTTTCGCTCTTTCTCGGCTTTCTTTGCATCGGCAGCTTCTTTCCTCTTGGCAGCGTTTGCGGCCTTGACTGCGGCATCTTCCTCTTTCTTCTTGGCCGACGCGAGCTTTTTCGCAAGCGCTTCTTCGGACTGTGCTGGCTTCTTAGGCGTCCTTGGCCCACATGAGGCTTCGGTTATCCTCGCTACCTTTGAGGGCGTCTTCGTTTCGGCATCTTCGTCGTCCTGTGCCGGTCGCTTGAGGTTGGGCGTTTGCGCTTGTTCAGCTGGCTTCAGCGGCTTGACCGACGTCTCTTCGATACCCGTTACTTTGGGCCCGTGCTCATCGGAGTCTGGAGGGGGAGTTTGGAGTTGCTGGCGGCTCTCTGTTGATGATGCCATCGCTGCATCGGAGTTCATGATGTCATTCAAGAGGGTTGAGTGCGAAGCTTGGAATAAACAGAAGGGTCGATGGCGTCAGATTGCTCAGGACACGGCTGACATTGGGAATTTGGGAACCAAAGATTACAGGAACCAGATGTGACACTCCAGAGCATATATACCACGCACTGCGTTCCGATCAAGAGACTCTGCAGCTGTATCAACCTTATCGCATGGGGCTACAGGTGGGGTGGTGCCCGTGCCGGAGCCGTTTCCGTGGCTACGTCACCCCCACCTCATTACCCCTGATGTCCCCACCATGTACCCTTCTCGTCACCAACCCTGGAACCGCTGGCACCTATCTCGCTGATCTAAAACACGACATATGTGATTGTACTCGCATCTAAGATTTGAGCACCTCCAAAGCCTTCAGCGGATTAAGATATTGCCAGCACTACCTAGGTATGCTAGCTAGTGCAAAGATGTTGTCACACGGCTTTATCTGGGTATATCCCTTTTCCCGCCGATCTTGCACCGACGTCAGCGCAGCAAAATATGCTTGATCCCGTTATGAGTTCCAGTATGGAGATTCTGTTGCGACGAAAAGAACAGATGCGATTGAACAACTCACTTCCGCCCATAGTTTCAGCAGCAAAGCGATGAATTTCAGGTATCAGCGTCAAATCGATGAAAGCCTTGCGACAAATAGCAACAGCTAGGTGCCTACTACTATACAACGACGCAGGTTCAAAACAGGTATCCAAGCAACGAAAGAGAAAAGAATGATAAACCACGGGTATCGCATCGCTCCCCCATCGATCAACTCAACTCCTTCAAACTCGCCTCCACATTCTCCCAAGCCTTCGGCGACATAATCAAGCTCAGCCAATAACCCCCCGCATGATCCTTCCCCAAAATATGCACCAACAGCCTATTCGCCGGATTCGGTATCCTACTCGAGCAATGATGAAACGCAGGCATACCAGGCGGATTACTCCTTCCCTCACTCTCATCACCAGCCCTCACAACCGCAGGCCCAAAGTCGACAGTAGAAAAGAACTTGGCTTTCGACCAGTCGGTAAAAGGCACCAACATCGCATCCGCGTCACTGTAGAGAAGCGTCGATGGATCGCCGGAGATACGCTGCTCGCGAAGACTGGCAAGGACTTGGCCTTCGGTTGCTTGTTCGAGGAGGCGCTGGCGGTTGTGTAGAGCGATGGGACCGAGTGGGCCGGTTGCCATGTCTGGAGAGAGGAAGGTGAAGCCGGGGACGAGCATGTTTTGCATGTACATGCCCTTCGCGTTGATGAGTTCAGGAAGACGGAAACGAGCGTTCATTGCGTGGAGGGCGGTCAAGGGACGGGGTGATGGCAGAGAAGATGCGATACAGCGGAGTGTCCATGCAGTGAGCACATCGCCATCGCTGATGAACGGTGGTTTCTCGACTATACCGTCATCGTTCTCCTGCACAGGTAGGTCTTGCTCAGTTGCTACGCGCAATTTCGCCACGACGTCCTTTGGCAGGTAAATCGTCTGCGACTTTGGAGCAGGACCAGTAAGCATATCCCATGCGAACCTCGCTCCAAATTTGACCATACTCAGCCCTTTGAGCTGTTTGGCCTTGAGTATGTACTCCTCTGCCGGCTGAGTCGTGTTGTCAGTCAGTGCACGTAGCATGTCTTCCCGCGCCCCTAGTACAGGCGGCACTTCGGTCTCTTTTCCGGCTAATACCATCGACCACGCGCAGAGGAGGTTTTGGTTGCCAATTACATCCATCAAAGTATGGGGCCAGGAGAGTCCCACGAGTGTTGCGTTGGTAAAAGACGTGATGTGGACCGAAATTTGTGGCGTGTCTCCAGCGATCAAGTCCTCAAACGTCATGGGCGCGTCGGCGCTAGCGGCCAGGTCATTGAACTCCGTGGGTCCTGGACAGATCAAGACGGCTCTGTTGGCTTTGGGAAGCTTCTTGGCTAGGTCGTGCTCTTCGATGGGAGTGTTGATGGTGACATGGCTGTACGAGAAGGCGGGTCGCTCAGATGTGAACTGGCGTGGGACATGAATCTCCAATGCACCCTTGTTCTATCATCCAACATGTTAGCCGTACTGCTTCCACGCGAAATCAATCCGAAAGATGCCACTTACGTTGAGTCTCAAGCGTCCTCCAAGCTTCCTCCAGTCCCCATTTTCCAAGAGCTTTGCTAGAGAGGACCGGAGCCTATCCGCATCGAGAACATCGTTGAAGCAGAGTGTCCATGTAATTATGATGCTACGGAAAGTCTTCGTGTCGTCTAGTGTGTGTACTGGAAGGACGTCGTCGTCGGCATATGGGGTTGGTGTAGCATCTACTGCTGGGGAAGATTGCTTTTTGAATCGCTTGAGGAAATCCATTGCTGAGACGCTAAACTTGCGAACTGTGAAAGGTGCTCAACAATGAGTGTTATTTGTCAAATCTATTTACTTCTGCTCTGCTTTTAACACCGTATGAGAATCCCTGGCCAAAGTCGCGTTCGGAACACGGATTCGTGGGTAGCCGGAGAATATGTTATCGTCGTTGTATCAAAAGGGGCTCGCTAGATCGACGCCTCGTCTCCACCTCTGCAAGTAACTAGTCTCAGGTAAAACTAGCCGCACGTACCAACACGAGAAGGATTTCCGCCGTGCCACCGAATCTCTACAGGCGAGTCAAGAATACGTTCTTATCGTTGTGTCAAAATAGGGGCTCGCTAGATCGGCGCCTCGTCTCCCCCTGCGCAAGTAACCAGTCTCAGGTAAAACCAGCCGCACGTACCAACACAAGAAGGCCGAATCTCTACAGGCGATCGGACAACGGATACTAGCGATCCGCCTACGTTCCATGCGCTCCAAACCACGCATCGACCTCGTCGCCTGTGGCAAGCTCGTCGTCGTCGTCGTCGTGGATGGCTTCAACTCTGCCATGCCTGCGCCTGAACCGCCTCCCTCTCACCCGCGTCGTAGACTCATTCCGCTTCCGCAATGCCAGTCGCTTCGCAACCTCATTTGCCTCGACTAGACTGACCAGCTTCCTCTTCTGCCCTTGGTTCTTCTCTGCAAATTCCTTGCAAACTTCCCACACCTTCGTCGTAGCATCGCGAGTATCTTGGGATTTTTCGACGAAGGATTCTGGACGTCGTGAAAGCACGTTGGTATTCACGTTCCCGATACCAAGATGTCTGTGACGGCGATTTTGCCCGGCGTCGCTGGGAGGCGGAGGGTTGCTGAAGACCTCTTGAGCCAGATATTTATCTTCTGCCATCTTAAACGGCGTACGTCCTGATGCGTTCTCACGGAAAAGAAGGTCAGGACGGCATTGGAGCATGACGCGCAAGACTTGATCACAACCACGCCGTACGGCAAGGTGGACAGGCGTATCGCCCTCGCCATTGACGATACTGAGGTCGTCGCCTTTGTTGAGTTCGAAGAGAAGTTTGAGGATGTTTTCGTGGCTCTCTGAGTTATAGCTTGATGAGTTGTGGGGAAGAGCGACGTGAAGCCAGCGTGCAAGAGGTGTAGCTGCGCCAGGAGCCGCCGTTGTACGTTCGGTGAACAGGCTAGAGAGAAGGCGAGTGTCGATGAGCGCCAAAAGCTCGCGGAGCTTTTCTAGGTTTAACTGGTAGTTCAAATGCTTGTGCAGGATTGAGTGGATGATGTTCGATCCAGTGTTGTCGCGTGTGGTTTGATCGGCACCAGCTTCCAGAAGAACCTTCACCATCTCGATACGGTGCATAGAGAAAGCAAGCTGCAGAGGCGTCATGCCGCTCGCAGAACGATGTCCAATCGCCTTGGGATGAGTTTTGCATAGATGTCGAAGCAGGCTCACCGACTCATCACCCTCCTTGCCCAGAACCACCGAATGGAGCAGTAGATGCGAGCGTAGGTCGAGCCACTTTGTGATAGACGACTGCAAGCCGCCTTGGGTCTTCGCCAGATTCTGGATGCGGATATCGTCTCGATGACTGTCCGCAAACTCCATATAACAGCGCAAAGCGGTGTCACTAGCGAACCACTCGACGCTCTCCAAACTTGTGTAACGAGCGGCATGAAGCAATGGCGGGTGCTTCGCCCCGACTGTTTTCGTCTGGGTCTCTCTCCCTTCATTCGCCCAGTCCGCTCGCTTCCTGCCGTGAACCGATAGCCCTTGGTAGTACTTTGGCTTCACGGGTATCTCGATGCCGCTCTTCTTCACAAGATCGTCCAAAGGAATGCCAGCCCCAGTGTTCTTGATGATGATCCCAAGCAGGCGGGTACGACTCAAGCGGATCGCGTACCAGAACTCGGCTTCGTCGAAACGGAAGAACCTCGGTGCAGTCTCATCGTCGAGTTCGGTGTTGTGTTGCGTGTACTCCTGAGCTCTGGCGATCAGGAATTGTAGTAGATCGGCATCGTCTAGATAGACTGCCAATTGGAACAGACTATGCGGTCGCACATCCTCGGGGATCTTGACGGGTACCGGGTTGTCATTAGGCGAGTCCAAAGGCGTTTGGCTGCGAAGGCTGCTTGAGAGCTCCGGGTGTGGAAGCCAGGGTGAGACCGATGCAGCATCCTGTTCGAGGAAACGGTACGCCGGGCACGTCCACGACATCATCTTGAGTGGCGTCACATTGCTCTTGACTTGACTTTGCACCTCTCCAATGTTCTCAATAGTGAAGCGATCATCCACAATCTCAGCGTAGATCTCGAAATCGTCCTCGTCTTCGTCACAGCTACCGTCGTCGTCATCTCGGGGTTGGAGACTGTGTTTGACCAGTGGCTTCTCTTCGGGCACATATTGCGCATGTGCAATCTCCAAGACAGCACGAGCGATTCCATAGTGCTTCCTCAGAATGGCGATAGAGAATGGCGAGTAATCCTGCGAGTTCTGAACAGCGATTTGCAGGGGAGTCTGATTATCTCCCCACATCGACAAGGTAAGCTCTTTGATTGTCGGAAGATCGCCATCCCAGCAGGCTTGGAACAACTTGAGGTAAGCTTCCCGTCGTTCGTCGGTCAGGTCAGAAAGCCGGAAGGTGAGCAACGGATTCCACGGCTTTGGAGGTTCAGGTCCATAGCTACCATAATTGTACTGTTGTGGTGGGGGTATCTTGATCTCAGTATCTGGATGCAGCTCTTTGAGGGTCTTTGCATGCCGTCTCAGCAGCTCCGACTCCAATGCTTCGAACTCTTTCAATAGCGCCTGGACAGCCGACTTCTTCTCACTCGTACCCTCGGGTTCTTTCTGAGACTGTTTCCACTTCTCGTGGCTCTCCAAGTCTTGTTCGTAGATCCGTTTGGCGCTGTCGATCTGATCACTCACCATCCAATGAGCGTAGGTACCCGGTTCGAGTCCTCCAAGATATTCAGTATCTTCCTTGAGCGGTACTGGGGCGAATTGCTCGGACCGCCGGTAGTTATCAATGCGGTCCACCCAGCCTTCGGAGCACAACCACCCATCTTGACCATCAACTTTGCCCTTCTCGATAAAGGTCTGTAGTTTTCGCACATTGTACCGAACAATATCCAAAAGGGTGCCCGTATCGTTGTCGTGTGTGTTGTTGCTTTTGTCCAGCGCGCACCAAGCTTTGGGAGTAAGACTGTTGATGTCTGCTCCAGCATCCAGAAGCTTCAAGACTATCGACAATGCCTCATAACGAAGTGCAGTAAATACAGGCTGCTCGACGTTTTCTCTGAACGCTTTCTGGTTGCTCTCGGCAGTGCTGTATGCCGAATGAAACCCCTTATTTTTCGCAACGGTAGAGTAGGTGGCGAAGTCAAGCTCAGGCTTCGCGCCCAGCTCTAGAAGTGCTTCAACTCCAGCGGTATCACCATGTTCAATGGCTGTCTTCAGAGGACTGTTCACGTTGGGTCTGAACGAATAGCCACTCAGCGATAAGTGATCGGCGGCTTGTTGCGCCGCAGGCCTGTTTGCGGATATCAAAGTGGTGAGCAGATCGGCACCATGCGCAGCAAAGTAGTGCAACGCCGTGATGTGGCTGGTGTCGCCCTGTGCCGGCGATGCACCTAGGCTGACGAGTAATCTAGTCATGTCCTTGGCCTTTTCTGGCGAGAGCTGTAAAGCGAGAACGGTTGGCAGGATCGCCGCGCGCGGGGACTTGTTGTAATCATTGACAAGCTTGACCGGCAGTAGTACATCGGCTCCAAACTCCTGAACGAGAGTCTTTACGACGTCGGTGTGACCATTTGCAATGGCCAGGTGGAGCGCAGATACCGGTGCGTCCCAAGCGACTACGTTGACGTCGTATACATCGGGCTCGTCGTCATTTGCATCATCTGGGAGGTTATCGTGGTCTTCTGACTTTTTGGGGTCTATCTTGATGACAGAGCCTTCAGTAGTCGCATCGGCATTATCGGACTCATCATCAAGTAAATCGACGTCGTCATCCTCATCGTCGTCGTTCTCGCTGTCGTCATCGGAAGCATGTTCCTCGGTGTCGTTGGTACTGGTAGCATCTGGTGTTTCCGGGAGGATCTGGTTCTTCTTCTTAAGAGCTTCTTTCTCTGCCTCTTCTTCTTCGTTGGCCTCACTCTTGATGAGGAGAGCTCTGACCATCTCTACCTCACCGCGCATGGCAGCAAGATGGAGCGCGGTCTTACCATCGAAGATGCGAGCGACGATACGGGCTCCAGCATCGACGAGAGCTTGAACGACCTGCGGAGTTGAGGTCATGACCGCCAAATGAAGTGGAGTACGCCCAGTGTAGTCCCTTCGGTTGGGATCAGCACCCTCTTGACTGAGCCAATCCCGGACATGCTCGAGATCTCCGTCAACTATAGCCTGACACAGTCGCGCTGTATTGCCGACGTATGCCATCTCGGTCCAATCATCATCAGTAAGAGGGTTAAATGAGCCGATTGATTGCCGTCCAGGGTTGTCTTTGATGAAAGACAATGTGCCAGACACATAGATCTTGCTTTCCTCAGCTGCAATCTCCTGGTCTTCTGGTGTGATGGGCTCGGGACAAAAGCCGCAACAGTCCCCAATTACATCGATCGCGTTCCCAAAAAAGGAAGGGTGTCGATGTAGTGTGGTCTGTCGATCCTTAGGCCGATTCCATTCGGCGTTGAGTAGCAAGTCTTTCGCGAAGAGTAACCTCTCAATCTTCCGAGCATGGAACTTCGGTCCGTATGGGATGGTGAAGGTATGGTAATCGCTGACCTCATCAGTCTCTACCCACTCGGCAACATCTTCGTCATGCTGCTGCTTGATGTCGCCTTTGAGCTTCTGCGTAGCCCAACGATTGATGGCTGGTCGGCCGCGTTCAGCACGACGCTGATCAACGTAAGCGTCACGGTCAGTGCTTTTCGGCAATTTCTCAAGTACTAGCAACCTGGCCAGTCCGAGAGTGCGACCGAAGGAGCGTTCGAACAACGTG